GCCAAATGAGTCCCACATATAGGACTGTGCATTATGAACACAGAACGTTGTTCTGAGTTAATCATTGCAGCTGATTCAGTTATCCTATGGCTTGTGTAAATGACTGATTTCTCTAATTTACTTTCTCGCATGGCAACCAGAAAGGTGTAGGTAGGCCACGCTATGAACCATCTGGCGAATCATATGGAGCTCATTAGGGTATGGTGCAACTGAAGCTTTTGCGCCAAAAGCGCTAGGGTCTTGAAAATGAGCCTATGGTGTCAGAACTCTCCCACTCAAAATACATATACTGTCATATGCAGACGGAAGTTTTGGTCTAAATAAGAGCTGCATGCGCAGTTTTGACCGCTGCACCTGAGATTCCGCACCACCGAAGCGGATAAGTAAATAAGTACTGACGTAGCAGTGATTGAGTAATAAACTGGTCTATTCGATTCAGCAAAGCTATTTTTAGTTGCTGTGCATCACTGCCGTGCCAATTACTCCGGTGTTGGCATTTATGAAACGCTGGATGTTTGGCCTGCTCCTCTGCAAACTGGTGCCTCCCTGCCAAGGAATATCGGGTGAGCCATGAAAGATAACAAGACTTTAATTAATGTAACCCATGCATATTTCAAATCGCCTTTCCTGGAAAATCATATCTAAATTTACAAAGCGTGTACGTGTAGTTCTTAGGTTTTTTCTCCATAAAGAAGGATCTGGACTTTTTTCTACGAAGTTTCCTTCATTTTGTTCAATTGCGTTTACTTTTCTATTTGAACAGTCCATTAGAAAAAAAGGTTTCTCGAGGTTCTCCACTATTCTCTTTTGCTCACACATACAAGCAAATGTAGTATTCTTTCGGATTTGCTAAATTAGTTTGGAATATCTGAATGTTTTTCCCTTCTAATAGGGACACTGCATGTTTTCCCGAGCATCCCTGTCTCGCCTTGGTGCTTCAAAAGTGCTGTGTTCCACTCACAGACGCAAGCGATCGTAAACCTACTTCGCCATAAAAACCTCCTGGAGTCCTTTCGACGGTGGATCAACTCGAAGCTATGGAAGGGAACATAACTCCAGAACGTTCCCCCATGAGTTAAAGCTAGCTAACCTATAAGTCAAAATTAAGTTAAAGCTGAAGTTAGAGTCAGAAGCTAAGCTACCTCTTTGTTCAGACCCTCATAAAAATAGATTTACAATCCCAAAAATCAATGCATAATTTAAACATAAAAATGCCTTGCCCATAAATACTTCAATTTTTGAATATTTTCTTCAGTTTTAATCTCCTCCTGGTGCTTATGCTTTATCGCCATTGATCGGTATCGAAGTATTGTGACGCCAATGAAGGAGCGTTTTGGAACTGAAGCACTCGCAGAAATGTGTGGCATGAGGTTCGCCCGTTCGAATGGACTTTTTCATTCCTGAAAGCCTTCAATTACAGCGTGCTGCTGATTGCGAGCGTTGGGCTGGTGTGGCAATCTTCGCATCTTCGCCCCTCTACTTCTCTCAGTCGCTCAAAACACTCACTATGGCCAACATCACACTATGTGGCGAGGTTGGTACTCCATGAATCTGCCTACTGAGCCATCGAAAAGCGCTTGCTGTTTAGGGTGTTGACTGCGAACTTGAAAACGTGGTGCTTGAACCCTTACAGTGTTCACAATGGGAAACGTATTGAGTTTTACCGAAAAGAGATTTACTGCTGATCACTAAGGTTCCGGAAATGCCTCAGTAATTTGCTGAGAGTGTATAGTCATCATTTCCACATTCGTCAGTTCAGAGTTTGACCCCGTAGAAGAATTTGTTTTGCACTAACAAATGTTCATTCACATAAGAAGAATGAGTTTGGAAAAATGGTCCTTACCAATGTGCTGCACCTTCCGGGATCATTGTCAGTTCAGAGACTGGGTGGTTTCTGCAGCGGAATAAACCAAAAATCCCACTCGAAATGAATTGACAACAATATGCTCAAGGCATTTGACAAAATATTTAAGCCTTTCTGAGTACCACCATGTGACTTCAATTGAGAAATACGTTTCAAGTTCTTGAGAGGCCGCAGTAATTGTAATTACCATTTTTGAAAGACTTCGTTTATAGTCTTTAAGTTTGACAAATGTGGTGTAGTTACAATATTGAAAATGATGTGACGCCTCCTTTCCATTTTAGAGGCCATTAGGAACAGTGCGTTTACCTAAGGGGAGGACTCACAATTAGAGCCGACAAATATGGAGAAGTACAAGCCTAATCATGACAATTTCACCACGTTTTCCCGTCAACGAAAGACCTTATATTGTCTTCACATTTGACTCAATGGTAGGCATTATGAAAGTCCCTCTGTTTTTTCTACAGCGTAAAAAATTAATGCGGCGTAAAAAAAAGCGTAAAAAATTAATTTCTCGAGCGTAAAATAATGGTAGACTAAAAACGTAAGACGTAAAAAATTATATTCGAGTAATCGGACACCCGATTCTACCTTTTGGTTTCTGATGGTTCTATTGGTGACAGTGACCGTTTCGACAAGGGAACTTCTATAACGAACGATATGGCAGTTTCATGGAGGAATTGGGTGGGGGGGGGGAGACCGACCAGTATGTAAATGGTGAATTCATCCTATCAGACGATTGTGATACCAAAAAGGGGTCATTAATAATGGTAGACTTGGTTGACCTAGACAATATTCGATCATGTATTAAATCCGGATCGTCTGCATGGTAACCAGCGCCACACAGAGCCTTATTATCTACACCTCTTCCCATTGGATGAGGCGGCGAGTTACCGCAAATCATTTATATAAACGACGATGCACTTTGCAGTTCTGCGGTGAATTCAACTGGTCGCAAGAGGACCACACCAAATTGGTTTATGGTATTTCGCTGTTGGTTGTTCAGTTCGTTATTCCTGCTATCATCATGTCGTTCTGCTACTGGAAAATCCTCCAAAAGGTGGGTCTGATGCTCCTTATTCTCTAGGCTTGAAGCAATCTTGAATACTGTTATTTATCCATTTGTTTGCATAATATAGTGGCCACGCTCGAATTTCATCTATCAAGGCCTCAAGGAAAACAGAGTTCAGAAAACAGAT